ACCCCGTCCTCACCCATGCTTCTGGGTGCTGCCCGGACCCCAGCCCGGTCCTTCCAGCCCAGCCTCGGACGCGTGGACTCCGTGGCAGTTCAGCTTCATTTTTTCCTCACTGCCGGGGAGCTCTCTCTGGCGTCCGTGGTGGAGCAGGTCGGGGGTGTTCGGCTGGCTCTGTGCCCTCAGTTCTTTTCCGGGTCCTGAGCCCTTCCTTGAAACTTGGTCTTTCCCTGTCCCTCCGCCCTCGAGTGCTGGCTTGCTCATCTGGCACCAAGAGCCAGGGGTGACATGGACCACGGCAGGAGAGACAAAGGGAGACGGAGGGGGGGGACGCATGCGTGCGTCCATGGTCTGGACACCTGGGCTTGCCAAGTTCAGGGCTGGACTTCCTCATCCTCACATGGGCTTCTCCGCTCCTGCTGCTTGCGGTTTGTTCAAATGACTGCCCCTGCCTGCCACCTTCTTCCTCGGGGTCTCCACAATGCCTGTGGAGCCTTCACAACTTTGTAAGTACTCCTCCAGGCAGCCCTCCCTGACTGCCCCTAGGCCAGTTGCCTCTTTCTTCTAGTTTGTGTGACACGTTTATCCCCAGTCCCTTGGATCGCTGGTTTCCATCTGAGTGTAGGAGTCGTGGGAAGAGGGCTGGGTGCTCGTCTCAGCCACGCCGTCTGCCTGGTCATCCTGCAGCCCCGCGTGGACCGTGGTGCCTTCCCCGGATGTATGATTATTGTCATTCCATGTGCGTCCTGTTGCCAGTGACAGCCCTGACCTCAGACCAGCCCAAGTGCCAAGCAGCACTTAGCTGAGCCTGTAGCTGGCCACGGGGTACAGTTTGGTCCCACCCAGTGTCACCTGCACCCGCTCACGGGCCCCAGCCAGTGCCTAGCAACGGCCATCAGCACCCGGGAAAGCCCTTCTGTAGACCTGCGACTCCCCCTCTCTCATTGGCCAGACCTGAGAAGACGGCTCTGCCCCTAGGCCAATCACTGGAGCCGGAGAGATGGGCTGTGTGGATTGGCTGCCCAAGTCCCTGCTCCGCCCTGTGGTCCCCCAGCACAGAAGGGGAGTGGGGGCTGTTACCGGGGGGAGAGGACATTCGTTGCTGGGTCAGCAAACACCTGGAGGTCCCGCTGTGTCCCAGCACGGTTTCAGGCGTAGAGGACATGGTGTGTGCCAAGCTGGAGCCCGGGGTGGGGAGGACGGCCCGGGAGGGAGGGTCAGCGTTAGCCTGCAATGGTGGAGGTTGAGGAGAGGCCCGGAGAGGCCAGGACTCGGCCTGGAGGAGGTCTGCTGCAGGCTTCAGGCAGCAGGAAGCGCAAGTGCAAATGTCCTGGGGCAGCGCTGAGGTTCTGGGCTGGAGCCGCTGCTGGAGAGAGGAAGGCGCTGAGGTCAGAGGGCGGGATGGGCGGGGGGGGGGAGGGGCTTCTACACAGAAGACAGGCTGCTGCTTTGTTTTAGCCTGAGCCGTCTGGCTGCCTGGTGGAAGGGAGTGAGGGTGGAAGCAGGAAAAGCAGTTAGGGGGCTGCTGTTAACAATGGCGGCAGGATGGCCCTCCCACTGGACACCTCGCTCCCAGGAGGCCCTCAACAAACACTTGTAAAGCCAGTGAGGGCCCCCGGGGCTGTTGGGGGACTCTGGCCCCAGCAGCCCGGGCATCTCTGCACGTCCAAGGTCCTTTCATCCGGGCGTTTCCGGTCTGACCAGGGCCTCGTGCCGCCTCTGGCCGCTTCTCCCCTCCCCCTCGGCGGCCAGAGTGTGCCCAGACTTCCCTCTGTTCCCTCTGCTGGACTGGGGATTCTCGGAGGCAAATAGCTCGTGTGGAGCTGCCCAGACCTCCTGGCTGAGCTCCCGGCGACCCTGCGCGCGCGGCTGTGCAGGTCAGCAGGTGCAGCTCTGATGCTCGGCCCGCGCTGTCACCAGAGCCCGCGGCCTGGCCGCGGAGGCCTTTCTGAGAGACGCGCAGGCTGAAGGAAAGGCAAGGCAGACTTGAACTGAGCTGGTGTCGAGGTGCCGACGGATTATCAGCCGGGGCACCAAGTGGCTTCGCTGGAGTGTTTTCCCAGGAAGGAAGAAATGGAGTCAGGATCTCTTGTGTCATTTTTAATTGATTTCTTCGGCATCCAGAGAGCGACTGGCACGAGGCCAGAGTCTGAGCCGGGGGAATTCATCAAATATCGACCCGCGGATGAGCTGATCTGATGAAATAATTAGCTCCTGTCACCCCTGGCCCCGGCGTGGGGCTCTGACTGCCACCCAGAGGCAGCGCCGCCTGGAGGGGGTGCTGGAGGCGCAGCAGGTGCGTGCAGCTGACCACCGCCCCCTGGTGTCGCACCTTCACATCGCAGCCCTGGAGCCAGAACGGGCGGCTCTGGGGCTGGAGGCTTTCAGCAAGCTGCCTGAAGGTCTGCCCGCAGCGGGCTCTGCCCAGCAGCTGTAGCCCAGCCACACGGGGCTGGACCCTTCCTGCCGCTTCCTGAGCCATGGGATGGCGAGGGTGACGTCCGTCCCCTGTGCTCCGTGGGGACAGTCTCCATGGGTGTGTCTGTGTGTGAAAGGAGCGGGCACCTGCAAATGCCCAGAGCAGAGCCAGGGCCCCGCCAGCTGTCCGTGGGCACCTGCTCTCAGGAGTCCGTCGGGAGAGTTCCCATCCTGGGGGCGTCTTCTGGAAATTTCGTGTGTGGTCCGGGCGGCGGAAGACTGTGTGACTGCTTGCATGCATGCGTGCGCTGATGAGTGCTGGCGCGGTCCCCGGTGCTTAGCACAGAGCCCTCCACGGCATTCCCAAGGGGACCTGAGCCGGACTCGGGGACCACTCTGTTACTGGGGGGTCGGGGGCCGGTGAGCTGCGGGAGCACCTCTGCTGCTCCGTAGCCCCCAGGAGCTGCAGCGGAATGTCCCGGGCCGCTAGCTGCTGTGCACACCTGTGGAGCCCCCTGGGCGTGCAGCAGGCAGGCCCGGAGCCGGTGGCGGGGAGTGGGAGCCGGGCGCCGAGTTCCGCCTCTGCCTTGCGTGGACCTGATTTGTGCAGTTACTCTCCAGGGAGCAGGTGCCTGGACAGCCTTGGATAGGAAGCTTGTTTCTGTTTTCAGATGATGCCACTTAGGGAAGCGTATCAGGGAATGCTTGGTGAGGAGCTGTGTGCCCCAGGCAGGGAGCGAGCGGGGAGGTGGTGCCGGGATGGGGGGAGGTGGAAGCCGGGAGGTTCGTGGGAAGGAGCCCGCGTGAGCGCTCAGCCCCCAGCTCTGCTGTCCTGTCTCTGGGTGGCCTCACCAGTGATTGAGCCTCAGGTTTTTCAACTGTAAAATGGGTATGATCGGGGCCAGCGCTGTGGCGTAACGGGTTCAGTCTCAGCCTGCAGCGCCAGCATCGCATGTGGGTGCTGGTTCAAGTCCCGGCTGCTCCACTTCCGATCCAGCTCCCTGCGAATGCGCCTGGGAAAGCAGCGGAAGGTGGCCCGAGTGCCTGGGCCCCTGCACCCACGTGGGAGACCCAGAGGAAGCTCTTGGCTCCTGGCTTTGGTCTGGCCCAGCCCTGGCTGTTGCAGCCAATTGGGGAGTGGACCAACGGATGGAGGACCTCTCTGTCTCTCCCTCTCTCTCTCTAACTCTGCCCTTCAAATAAATGTCTTTCTTAAAAGATGGGTGTGACGAGAGGGCTGGTGAGGTTTGGAGGCATGGGGTGGGCAGTGCCGATGCAGGACAATGGTCGCGCTCTGATGACGCCATCCACACCATGTCTTGTTATTTCCACCCGCTGGGCACGCGTCCATGTTGGAGATGAGGAGGTGTCAAGTTCCTGGCCCAGGGTCGCTGCCGGGAACCCAGGAACCCGTGGAGGGAGGCGGGTTCCATCACTCTGCTAGCTCTGGCTGGCACGAGGCATGTCTCAGAGGCGAGGAGGCTGAGAAGGGCGTGGCACCTGTTTCCCCCACCCCAGTCCTGGGAACCTCACCATCTCACATCAGGCTGTACCCCCGATGCCTGCCAAAACCCCCTGCTGAGCTGTCACCCTGGTCCTGCACAGGTCCCCTGGGAGGGGCACCGCGTGGCACCTGCTCCCCACTCCCGGGAGCAGTGCCGGTGGGGTGGGGGCTGCGCTGTCCTGCCCAGCCTGATGCTGCACGCAGGGACTTTGAGGGGTCCCTGCGTGACGTAGCAGGGTGCTCACGGCTGCCTGGGAGGGGCCTGTAAAATGGAACACACGAGGGGCTACCCAGCAGAGCGGAAGCCCAGGTGCTCCTGGAGTGGGTAGGGAGGGCAGAGTCGGGAGGGACCCAGGGAGCCACTGCACACCATGGGGCACAGAGAACAGCGATTCTGGCTCCCATCCCCTCCCTCCTGCCGCTGCCCAGCACGCGCCAAAGAGCCGGAGTGTGCAGGCCACGCGGTCTGCAGAGCCCGGCTCCCTGGGGCCTTGTCCGTGACAGCACGGCCCGGAGTGGCCAGTGCTCCCAGTGTCCCCCGGCGAGTGGCAGGGCACAGGGGCAGCGGTGGAGACCTCTGTGGCCCAGCCCAGCTCCTCCTCCCCCAGGACTCTGGGGACCGGAACCAAAGTTCCACTTCCTCATTTAGCCAACCGTCTGTGCCAGACTCCCACAAGGTGTGGGGCTGGAGCCGGGAGCGACACAGACCCTGGTTCTGCTGTCCTGAAGCTGACCCTGCAGCTGACTGAGCAGATAACGTGGCTGCAGGCGTAGTCACCGTGGAGTGAGTGTGAGACTGGCAGACACAGCGTGCCACTGGTGCCCACACTCGGCAGAGAATGAGCCCAAGACACAAACCCGGGGCAGAACTCAGAGTTGTGAAGATGAGCGAGTGCACAGGCCCCGGGTCCCAGGAGGAGTGCAGGTGCCCAGGCGGCCGCTGCGGGCCGGGCGGCGGGTCCACCCCCGGGCTCCGTGCAAGCGCTGGTCTGGCAGGTCCCGCTCCTGCCCGCCGACACGCAAGACCGAGCCGTGGGCCGGCCTTTCTGTAAATATTGACCTGCCTCTCGTCCTCCTCCTCCAGATCCGTGAGGGACCAGGGAAGACAGCCCGGAGGTGAGCGGCGAGGGAGCGGCCGCGGTGCACCATGGGGCCCCCCAGCCTCCTGCTGTGCGCGCTCTGGGCCGCGCTCTTCTCCCTGCTCGACGGAAGCTCCGCCTTCCTGGCCCACCACCGGCTGAAGGGCAGGTTCCAGCGGGACCGGAGGAACATCCGGCCCAACATCATCCTGGTGCTGACCGACGACCAGGACGTGGAGCTGGGTAAGGGTTCCGGCCACGGGGACGTCCCCGGGGCTCCCAGGAGGCGCCTTGTCCGCAGCCTAGGCAACAGCCCCCCCCCCCCTGCTGCCTGCAGTGCCGGTATCCCCTGTGGGTGCTGGTTCAAGTCCCAGCTGCTCCACTTCACATCCAGCTCTCTGCTGTGGCCTGGGAAAGCAGTAGAGGGTGGCCCAAGTCCTTGGGCCCCTGCACCTGTGTGGGAGACCTGGAAGAATCTCCTGGCTCCTGGCTTCAGGTCAGTGCAGATCTGGCTATTGCAGCCATTTGAGGAGTGAACCAGCGGATAGAAGACTTCTCTCTCTCTCTGTAACTCTATGTCTCAGATAAATAAATAAATAAAATCTTAAAAAAAATACCATCTAAGCTTCACAAGGTCAGTCCAGTTAAACACCACAAGTCCTGTGAGAGCTGGGACACACTGCACTCTCGGGCCCACGCCAGGGACACGGGTTCGCCTGGGCCCCACCCACCCAGGGTGGCCTGG